TGAATACCTCTCAACCCCTAACCTCCACCACCAAAGCCTTACAGCAAAAGCCTCACAACCTACGCTCCAGCCACCATGCCAATCCAGTTGAAATGCGTATCAATAAACGCCAAAGGCCTAAATTCCCCTACAAAAAGATGCTTCTAAGATGGACACATAGGCAACAGGCAGACATCCTGTTTGTACAAGAAACACACTTTACATCCCGGAAAAGCTTTCCACCTACCAACCGACACTATAAATCCAGCTACCTCGCCAACTCACCAGACACCAAGTCCAAGGGAGTAGCAATCCTTCTCAAAACCTCCTGCCCCTTAGTAGAAGTCACAGCAAGAGCAGATCCGCAGGGAAAATACATATCCATCACTGTAAAAATAGGCACCAATAGCTACACATTCTGCTCCTTATATGCACCCACGTCTCCTGAACCTGAGTTTTGGCACCAGCTATTTATGCACATGAAAACAATGCGAGGCACACGCCTGGTGATAGGAGGCGACTGACAACTAGGGACCACATATTTATGACTGAAACAATAAGGAACCCTTGAAGGGGGCAACCCACCCAACAGATCGCAAAACATTCCTGCCAACATGTCTTATGAAATTAGCCTACCATAAATACAAGCCAGACACGGGGCACACAACAAACAAACCCTCTAACGCTCTCTTGGTGAAGTTATGATCCTCTCACAGTCCTAAGCCAGTTCATGAGCATGCCTGCACGCGGAGCCTATACAATACTGTACTCTTACAAACCTATTTGCTTCTCTCTATGTCTATTATAAACGTAATAGTATGTACTGACCTTTAATTCATTACAAAATTGCAATTCATTAAAAGTATTATTATTATTTGCCTAGCAAAAATATTTACTGGCTGTGGTAAAGCATACTGTAATGGAAGGTTAATGTGTCTTACATATATTCCATCTAGACCCCTCAAAGCACTTTTGAATCAATTTTAAATAATGAAAAAATATATAATTTAAAAATCCATAACATTGATGAAACAAAATAATTGTTCTTTATTTAGTTTTCATTAAGTGTTGGCCTTTTATAGAAAAATTACCTGTGTGCACACCCTAATTAAAGGGTTTTTGCACTGGTTTTGGTGTCTGTAGCATGTCCTTGCAGGCTTTTCAATGTAAATGCTGCGTTTTCAGAAAAAAAGGCAGTAATTACATTGCTTCCTAGTAACACCTCTAGTGGCAGTCACTCAAACGGCCACTAGAGGTGCTTCCTAACTCAGTGTGTGCAGCACTGGCTTTCAGTGTCTCCACGCTATGCATAGAGATGCATTGATTTTCTATGGGAAAGCATTGGATTGGCTAAGATCATCAAGATGATCTAAGCCATGGAGGTGGGAACAGTCGTAGCAAGACTGGCACAGCGATTGAGAATAGGTACTTTTTTATCTTTCATTTTTATTGTGCAGAGAGCACACAGTGGCACAAATAGCCATAAAAGTGCACATTTTAACATATTAACATGAACATATATTAGCCAGATAGTAAGTTTTTAAATGTCTACTTAGATTGCAGCGTCATAGTGAACCAAAACCATTTTATTTATGAGCTGCAAATGCATTTGCATAAATCTTAACGTGTGCCCTGTAGGAGAGGGCCCAAGGAGGAAGAAGAAGAAAGGAAAGAAAGAAAGAACAAGAAGAGGACCGGGGGGGTGGAGGGGAGAGGATAAAGGGGGGCTCGCAGGGGAGTAGAGGAAGGGGAGCCGGGGGATCATTGGTGGGGGGCCAGGATAACCCAGGGGGGAGAAGACTCCTAATTCCCCTCAACTGTTAAGTGCCCAGAGGGCTACTGTCCCATGGCTCCCACAGTTTTTGGAATGCCTCACTTTGGCTGTTAGGTCATCCATTAAATGTATCTCTTTGATTCTAGTGATCATGCTCTCTATGTGGGGTAAGTCTTGTTTTAGCCATGTGTATGCTATTGCACGTCGTGCAGCTAACGTAATTTTATGTATCAATGTTTGTTCCCTTCGGTTCCATCCATCGATGGATCTATTCAGTAGATATACCCATGGGTCAAGGTCCGGCGTCCTGGAGAACACCTGGTTCAATACGTTTCTAATAGCCCTCCAGAATGACATTACATGTGGGCACTCCCACCACATATCTACGTATGTCCCCTTAGCCCCCGCATCCCCCCCAGCACACATCAGTGGTGGATTTGTGCATCTTATAGAGTTTTACAGGAGTGGTGTACCAACGGAACATCGTCTTAAACGATTGCTCCTGCAGGGTGACACAAACAGAGGACGTGTTGCTAGCTTCCCATATCTCTTGCCATTCCACCCCCTCCAATTCCTCTCCCACGTCCTTTTCCCATTGTTCAGCATATGTTAGGCCACCCCATTCCCCTGTCTCTGAGCATAGGTGAGTATAAAACAATGTTATAAGACCTGTAGGCTTGTTGTCTGAAATGCATAGACATTCAAAGAACATCATTGGTTTGTTAGCCACCCTTTTGAGAATATGTACTTTTAAAAACTTTTTCATGCAGTAGAAGGGGGGCGGGGGACCTAAACATGGAACATGGAACAGGTAACTATAGTAACAAGTTTGTATCCCTAGCACTATAGTGTTCCTTTAAATGTGCAGAACATACTGTCCTAACATATACATATTACATTCACAAGATATTGAATTATGTTTCCATAACCACAGAAAAAGCATGAGATATTATTTTAAGTACAAAGACTGTGAAATTGTTAAAGGGACACTATAGTCACCTGAACAACTTCAGCTTAATGAGGTTGTTCAGGTGAGTGCTACAGCTCCCTGCAGCCTTTTTCTTGTAAGCACTGTATTTCCAGAGAAAATACAGTGTTTGCATTGGAAGCTTGGAACACCTCTAGTTGCAGTCAATCAGACGGCCACCAGAGGGACTTCCGAGTTCAGAAGCCCTAAAAAGGCTTCATTCACCTCTGATGTATTCACGCATGGGTGAATACTTCAGACGTGCTATCAGCACACAAAGCACTATGCACGAGCTTTGTGTGCTGAGGCTGTCAGTACTGCGTGGGAGTGGCTTGAGCTGACAGGCTGAAGACCGAAGAGGAGGAGGGGAGGATTCAAACAGTAAGTAAACTTATTTAGTGAGTGTGGGTGGGTGACTGAGGGTGAGTGGGTGAGGATGGATGATGTGGATGGATTTGGGGATGGATATGGATGATGGGAATGGATGGATGATGGGAATGGATAGATATGGATGATGGGAATGGATGGATATGGGTGATGGGAATAGATGGATGATGGGGATGAATATGAATGATGTGAATGGATGGATGATGTGAATGGATGGATATGGATGATGGGAATAGATATGGATGATGGGAATGGATGGATGATGGGAATGGATGGATATGGATGATGGGAATGGATGGATATGGATGATGGGGATGGATATGGATGATGGGAATGGATAGATATGGATGATGGGGATGGATGGCTGATGGGAATGGATATGGATGGATGGAGGATGGATATGGATGATGGGAATGGATGCATATGAATGATGGGAATGGATGGATGATGGGGATGGATATGGATGATGGGAATGGATGGATATGGATGATGGGAATGCATGGATGGATGATGGGAATGGATGGATATGGATGATGGGGATGGATGATGGGGAAGCATGGTTGATGGGGATGGATATGGATGATGGGGATGGATATGGATGATGGGAAATCGATGGATGATGGGGATGGAAGATGGGAATGGATGATGGATATGGATGGATGATGGGGATGGATGATATGGATGATGGGAATGGACCGCCGGGCTCATTACAAGCCCGGCGGTCCTGTTGAGGGCTGGCAGATAGCTGTTACTTACCTTCCTGCAGCTCCTGTCAGCTCCCTTCTCCTCCACTGTAAGTCTCGCGGTGTGACTGCTGCGCGGAGTGTTGCCACGGGCTCTGACCCTGCGGCTCTCGCGAGACTTACAGTGGAGCTGACCGGACCAGAGGAGAAGGGAGCTGACAGGAGCTGCAGGAAAGGTAAGTAACAGCTCTCTGCCAGCCCCCCTCCTACACAGCCCATCCACTGGACCACCAGGTAATGAGAGCCCCCCTCCCTGGCCAGCTAACAAGCAGGGAGGGGGGATGAAAATAAAAATTAAATAATAAAAAAATAAATAATATTACAATAAAAAAATGTAAATATTAAAATTAAAAAAGTAAATAATAAAATAAAAAATAATACTAAAATTAAAATATTAAAATATAAAAATTTAAAAAATTTAAAATAATAAAAATGCCCTCCCCCACCCCCCACCCAGTTCACACACAAACACACACTCATACAAACACACCCTCTCCATTGTATATACACACACTGCATTATATACACACTCATACAAACACACACTCTGCATTCACACAAACACACACACTCTGCATTATATAATGCAGAGTGTGTGTTTGTATGAGTGTGTCCGTATATAATGCAGTGTGTGTTTGTATGAGTGTGTGTGTGTATAATGCAGATTGTTTGTATGAGAGTGTGTGTATAATGCAGATTGTTTGTATGAGTGTGTGTATAATGTAGAGTGTGTGTATGTGTGTATAAGTGTGTGTGTGTGTATAATGCAGTGTGTATGAGTGTGTGTGTGTGTGTGTGTGTGTAATGCAGAGTGTGTGTATGAGTGTGTGTGTGTGTGTGTGTGTGTGTATATAATGCAGTGTGTATGAGTGTGTGTGTGTGTGTCTGTAATGCAGAGTGTGTGTATGAGTGTGTGTGTGTATAATGCAGTGTGTGTGTTTGTATGAGTGTGTGTGTATATAATTATAAAAATCACAGAATTTCATAGCCACAAGTTTTACCCTCGACTTATCCACGAGGCATAGCATATTTCACAATTGTTGGTCACAAAACTGCACTCGACTTATACATGAGATCGACTTATATCAACGTATACACGAGTATATACGGTAATCATCATCAGGATTAGTAAATGACATGAATATGTTGTATTTAATAAAATTGGCATTTATTTCAAAGTTTAACAGCACCACCCAGTGGATATAAAGTAATTTTTCAGTCCATATATCTCAATGCAAGCACTGCACTAGCTTTGTTAATTTACATACCAGTATATCCTGCATATTAAACAAGCTTACAATGTAAATTTCACTAAATATTTATAGGCAAGGTGCATTCCTTTAAAAGTGAAATGGATTGCGTGTTAACAATATGAGTCAATAAACATATGATTTCAAAAGAAGCAAAGTATAATATATATAAGTTATAATTTATTTTAACATGGCTCCTCAAAAACATGCAACATGAACTTACATTAAGCTTTGTCAAAGAGTTAAGCAATGTTATATTTTAGAAAACCTACCATATTTCTGAAAATGTCTTCAGAATATGTGAATAAATGTTTAGATAAAAGAAATTATTTTAAAAAATTATTTTAAAAAATATTTTTTAAAAATTACAATATTGTGAGTTTGATGGAAAATAAATCTATAAAAAGTAAATGATTTGCCTTAATAAATAGAAACACATGACTCTTTGCAGGATAACCAAATGTTGGATTAGTTATCTAACACAATTTGACAGGGCATCCAAAACGAGCAGATAATCCATGATGAGCAGTACTGGTATAGATTAAAAGATGGTGAATTGTGTCAGTATTTCCATAAATATACATATAGTATCTCACAAAAGTGAGTACACCCCTCACATTTTTGTAAATATTTTATTATATCGTTTCATGTGACAACCCTGAAGAAATGATACTTTGCTACAATGTAAAGTATTAAGTGTACAGCCTGTATAACAGTCCCCTCAAAATAGCTCAACACACAGCCATTAATGTCTAAACTGTTGGCAACAAAAGTGAGTACACTCCTAAGTGGACATGTCCAAATTGGGCCCAATTAGCCATATTCCCTCCTCGATGTCATGTGAGTCGTTAGTGTTACAAGGTCTCAGGTGTAAATGGGGAGCATGTGTGTTAAATTTGGTGTTATCGCTCTCACACTCTCTCATACTGGTCACTGGAAGTTCAACATGGCACCTCATGGCAAAGAACTCTCTGAGGATCTGAAAAAAAAGAATAGTTGCTCTACATAAAGATGGCCTAGACTATAAGAAGATTGCCAAGACCCTGAAACTGAGCTGCAGCACGGTGGGCAAGACCATACAGTGGCTTCACAGGTCAGATTCAGCTCAGAACAGGCCTCGCCATGGTCAACCAAAGAAGTTGAGTGCACATGCTCAGCATTATATCCAGAGGTTGTCTTTGAGAAATATACGTATGAGTGCTGCCAGCATTGCTGCAGAGGTTGAAAGGGTGGGGGGTCAGCCTGTCAGTACTCACACCATATGCTGCGCACTGCATAAAATTAATCTGCATGGCTGTCGTCCCAGAAGGAAGCCTCTTCTAAAGATGATGCACAAGAAAGCCCACAAACAGTTTGCTGAAGACAAGCAGACTAAAGACATGGGTTACTGGAACCATGTCCTGTGGTCCGATGAGACCAAGATAAACTTATTTGGTTCAGATGGTGTCAAGCATGTGGGGCGGCAACCAGGTGAGGAGTACAAAGACAAGTGTGTCTTGCATACAGTCAAGTATGGTGGTGGGAGTGTCATGGTCTGGGCCTGCATGAGTGCTGCCAGCACTGGGGAGCTACAGTTCATTGAGGGAACCATGAATGCTAGCACGTACTCTGACATTCTGAAGCAGAGCATGATTCCCTCCTCCCTTTGGAGACTGGGTCGCAGGGCAGTGTTCCCACATGATAACGACCCCAAACACACCTCCAAGATGACCACTGCCCTGCTAAAGAAGCTGAAGGTAAAGGTGATGGACTGGCCAAGCATGTCTCCAGACCTAATCCCTATTGAGCATCTGTGGGGCACCCTCAAAAGGAAGGTGGGGGTGCGCAAGGTCTCTAACATCCACCAGCTCCATGATGTTGTCATGGAGGAGTGGAAGAGGACTCCAGTGGCAACCTGTGAAGCTCTTGTTAACTCTGTGCTCATGAGTGTTAAGACAGTGCTGGAAAATAATGGCGGCCACACAAAATATTGATGCTTTGGGCCCAATTTGGACATTTCCACTTAGGGGTGTACTCACTTTTGTTGCCAACGGTTTAGACATTAATGGCTGTATGTTGACTTATTTTGAGGGGACAGCAAATTTACAGTGTTATACAGGCTGTACACTTACTACTTTACATTAGCAAAGTGTCATTTATTCAGTGTTGTCATATGAAAAGATATAAAATATTTAGAAAAATGTGAGGGGTGTACTCACTTTTGTGACATACTGTATATCTACATGCACAAGACAGATTACAGTGACGTTTACAGAAAAATAGTAATTGCGGACTTGACCTAAAATTAGTTTTCAATAAAAATGAGAGGGCCTCACATGAGACCTGTACGATAGTATTAAAAAGCCATGTTTCCAATTTTCTGTTTTTGATTGAATCAGTTTGGCCATGGCTAGAATTTCAATATTACACTACTGTACATTGTCTTGCAAGGAAAAATAGCTTTGTGAAAATATAAATGTTTGGTATAGCATGGTTTTCTATACTGGAGGCTCTTCTGAAGTGGACTTGGCTCATGAGTGAAACATCCTCAGTTGTGCACGAACAAGATTTTTAGGGACAATTTGTGCAAGTCATTGAACAGCTATGCCAAAAATAGTAGTGGATGAAGGTTTCCTATTATCCTTTTAAATAGTACATATTATCTTGCCTATAAATCATGGCAGAGCTTGACTCCAATAATATGTGGATAGTGGCATGGTTTATATTCCCCAGTAAATATATGTTTTGGAAATGCCTCATAAAATGTGTTGTTTTTTTGTCATAAAGTTTTCATGATTTTAAATCCAGTCAGATTTTCAGAAAAGATAGAGCATATTTGGAATGTAATTGTCATTTTGATGTTTACTATAAGTGCTCCACATGAGGGAAGTTTCCTTCGTGGTTATTTAAGGTGTCTTGCAACATTTTTTCTGAAACCTGTGAACAGAAAAATGATATTGATATCAGACACAATATAACTTGTCAGTAAGGGAAAACAGAGGTCTTATCACTTGATCTATACTACTTTGTATATTTTTAATTAACTGTGTGCTACAATCGGTCATTGGGTTACCTTAGCAAATGTCTGGTGGATTTCTTGCCTATGCATACACATGTACCACAACTTACACCAGTGAAGCAGGCTAATATACACTTTATCATGTCATATACACAGGTACATGCTATCCAATGGTGAACTATTTCACATGCATTCAGTAAAAAATAAACTTTGTTGATGACAACAGCTGTAAATAAATAAATAAGATTATCATACTTGGGTACCATGCTTCCCAACATTTGACTTGGACAAAGAGGGGATGTGAAAGGGGCTAACCAGGGACAGGGCTGTTCTGAGAATTTTAGGTGACTTACCAATAACAGTTTATGCTACTGAAATGTAATTTAGAACATGAACAATGCATTTTATTTAAACAGACTTATTTCTACATACATTTATTGTAGTATAAATACTCATAACTGTGAGTATTACTGCTCTGGTCCTCTTTTATACACTCAGAAAAACAAAAAATATGGAGCTCGTAGAGGTATAGGGTACCTTATTGAGAATAGAGGCTTAGAGCTGCGTGTGCATGTACTCTAAATGAAATACTTTTTTAATGCATTATCACCCACCCCTAATTACAAAAACACTTATACCAAATACCAAAAAAATAAATTTGTACAGAATAATACAGAAAATGACAGAATCAGAATAAGATGGAGATCTCTTTTACTACTGTTTTATATCACAGCTCTCAGTATTCTTGACTTGTATGACCTGGGGCAAGGTGGTTGGATTATAAAGATCGATCATAGCAAGTGATGGAATTCGAGACTCTGGTATGATTCGATTGTCTTTCTTTGCCAGCTTTGAGCTCCAAGCTACAGAAATAATAAGAAAATATATTAACACATACACACGATACAGTTATGTCCGTGTCAAGAAAAAATGAAGTATAAAGCATTATTAGCTCTAGGTTATATTTTTCACCTGATATTTTATTTGCATAAATCAACTTCAATTAATTTAATATCATCTAGGCATGCTTTACCAAGTTTAGCTAATATTAATATTTGGGATCAGGGAATTTTTCCAATGTGGGAGTAGCTATATAAAAATTGCAATTCAAATATTCAAACCCTGACAGATAGTTACTGCAATAAAAAAAACTGAGCTGAAAGCAAATGAACGGTTTTGTTTAACTGCCTTTATTTCAGTGTGAAGGTAAGTGGAAATGGCATAATTACCTACCTCCTGACACTGAGTGCCACAAGCAAGATAAGCAATGACAGTTTAATTTTTTTTTATTTTTATTAAAAAGGTAACTGCTGAAAATATTTTAAGAATATAGGCAAAAGCACGTCAGGAATTCACCATGTAATGTGATATTTCTATGCCAAAATAGCAATGGAGAAGTTCTTCAGGTGGTCCTTTGCGATATCAAAAACCTATCCAGCCACGATTGAAGCAGGCTACCTTTTTTTATTATTATTATTTCCCTTGGCACTTTGTAATACAGTTATCCTCTAGGCAACTGCCCAACATCTTTCATGAAAATCTGTTTTATTTAATTATATATGAAGGAACTGTATGCTGCTTGAACCAAATAATCCAACATTTAACACCTCAACGCACTTCTCAACCATTCTCAGTCAAAATCTCCTCCGATATGTTGATTACTTAAACGCTACTCATGAACCCAAATTACTCACCCCTGGTATGATCATAACCAAGTTACAGGAGAAATAAATAATTTTACAAATTTTAAATGTTTTGGGCAACTATAGACTATGCAATGTGAAAAGTAAGTTTAACAGTAAGTTATGGTGATAGGTTTTAAATTTACTGCGATTGATATGTAGCATGTTTTTAAAAAGATGTTGTCAAGCATCATTATTCCGCCATGTAACATTATTGTAATGTCTTTTTCATATTCATGCATAATAATATGTCTTTAAACATTAAAGTAGTGATGGCATCATTAAACAAATAAAACTCTATTATATTTTGTCCAGATTTACACTTTAACCAGGAACCTGCCAAGAAAAAGAAACCTTTGGTGTAGGATAGCAACTAAAATAATGAGCCATGTAGGTTGAACAATATTAATAAATATTTTGAACAGGTACAGAATAATAAACACGTACAGCGCAAAAAAGCTTTAGGAAGAGAGGGACTTACAGGAGTAAACTGATCCACCCTCGGGGCCCTTTAGATCGGGAAAATGGCCATAAGTCAGCTCTGGCAATTTTGTATCCATCCTGGAATACTCCAATTTTTTCTTACTAACTTGGAGAGAGTTCTTGTCATTTGAAACCTAAGAATAAGAAAAAATGTCATATATGTATATATTTATAAAAAGAGTGCGTAAACTGTGCTATGAATTTTTTGGCACCAACTAGTATTCCTTGAATAGAATGACAATGAATGACAAATCCTCATAAAGTTGGAACAGTATTATTATAAACTCACCAAGGTTGCGAGGTTTTGATTGTAATTATTTCTAGGAGACGGCATTCCACTTTTTTTCAAAGGGCTTATATACATTCTACTCTTTTCTTCTCCCCTATAATAAAAAATACAAAGATGTCTATGAAAATGGGGAATTAGAGTATTTTGAGGTTTTACCAACACATGTTGTACCCCACTCACATAGAATCTCATCAGCACGACATTTTATCAATGTAATTTTTTTTACACGTATGCAATACATAGGACAGAGAGAGGCATTAAACCAATGTGTTCACATGATCAGCAGACCAGTGACAGATCAATGTATGGAGCAGACTAAATACAAAGGTCACTATATTAGTAAGGGATTTAAGTTAAAGAAAACATAATTCCATGATTAATAGGTGCTAGAAGACACGTTGCACCTTCCTGAATGGGTACAATTTCCTTTGACAACCTATTGGTACGTCTGTTTAAGACTTTACTACTGTAAGAAAACAAAATTAAGCAACTTAAACATCTTTCATGTTTTTTAAACTCTATGATTATAAATTTAAATATGAGTGAATAAAATTGTCACACCTGCCTTTGTTTATTAAAATATATGCCATTTTAAAGCTATTTGAGTAAATGTTAGGTCCATTTCAAATGATGAGCTGCGTTTAGTAGTAACAATAGTAAGCTCAGAGTAAAAAAAAAGTAAGGAGGGCATTAATAAACGATAATTAGTATTCTCATAAGAGCTTAGCATTCACAAAGTGGCCCTCATGGAATAGTAGCTCCAAGTTCTTAAGGCAAAACTTTGAACAAAATGCAAACAGTTAGCCAGGTTTTTATAATGAAAGTTCATGTTTAAAAACTGACAATAAGTTGAAGCTTGTTAGTTGGGTACCTTAACACAATATGCCCTGAGCCAGACCCTGCACCGGGATTGGCTGCCATATGAGAAGACATTGCAGTATAGTTGTAGCTGATTGGAGGAATCATTGCAGATGGGCTCTTGCGACGATCTAGGCCATTATACAAATTGGTAACATGAAAGGGTCCATCATCCTTTTCTAAATCCATCTTCATATTTTTCACCTTTAAAGGTTTTGTTTCTTTTGCTTTGGAGGTCATATTGAAGTCCTACTTACACAACATGAATATAAAAATAAATTAACCGATATACTGAAATGCACAATGTTTTATATTAGGAAGTAAATGTCTTTAATTGATATTTGGTGCAAACACTTGCCTGTAATACCAGTGCTTTCTTTTCTCCCATAGAATGTTCTCTGTTTTTATTCTTCCTCAAATTCGTTGGGATATCTTTCGAGAGCTTCTGCACTTTTGCACTGATTTCCTGAGAGAACCTTGGAGAAGTAAATAAATATTCTCAGGTGGGTTTTTTTTGCAACATTGAAAGGGAGATTTCTATTTATATGATGAATATGTTTCTAATAGGTCAGTCATTGGTACAAACACAAATGAACTTTCTGAAAATATTTCTGAAAATATTAACACAGCAAAAAAAAAACATAGGCCACAATAGCAATAAACAGGATAGTTAATGCTCAAAAAGAGTAAATAAATAAATAAATAATAAGGTGCCTTTTGCATTAAAGGGACACTCTGGACACCAATACTACTTTAATACATTTGATGAGTTTTGCTGTATTTGCTGTATCTTTGCATACTCAAGCTATTACAGGTTTTGCAGAATGCTGCACCATAAGCCTGCCTCTTTAGACATGTCTCCTTACTTGTGCACACAGCTCAGTCAGTGACAGCACTGAATGATCTGAGCTAAAAAACAATATGCATCAGAAGGATGCCCTGGGAGATGTATAGTAGGGGTATCACTACCTTTTTATTGTTTCCCTGACTATCTGCAGCCAGGCTGTGAAGTATATTAGTGCCTGGAGTGTCACCGTAAGACTATCTCAATATGTCTAACAGTAGCACAAAACCACAATACATGGACATGGAACAGTGGCGGAACTACCGCCGATGCAGCTGCACTGGGGCACAAAACGCTAGTGGGACCCAGTACTGGGAGTTATGCCACAATGTTGCTGCCAAACTGTTCTTGTCTGGTAATGGGCCCTCCAGAGTCCGGGCCCAGCCCTACGATGTCAGCCCTGTGATGTCAGTTGACTGGAGGAGAGTGCACCGCGAGGGAGAGGGAGCAGGCAGGAGAAACAAGTGAGCTGCTGCCACACTTCAGCCTCAGCCAGCACCTCAATGAACCCACCCTCCTACAGACAAAGGTACGCTAACAGGAGGGTGGCTGTAAATAAATTATGACGTGTATCTGTGTGTCAATGGGTGTATCTGGGTGTGTATCTTTGTCAAGGTATGTGTATCTGAGTGTGTGTATGTGTGCTAGTATGTGTATCTGTGTGTGACTGTGTGTATCTGTCTATCAGTGTGTGTATCTGTGTGTCAAGGTGTGTGCCATTGTGTGTGTGTATATCTGTGTGTGGATGTATCTATGTAAGTATTTATGTATGTGGTAGTGTATGTGCATACATCTCAGCAAACACCAACAAAGCATGCAAACACACCCTGCAAATCAACACAAACATTACATACAAACAAACCCCTGTACTCAATCTCCAAAATTATATACAAACACACCGTTTCACTCAAACACCAATACTACACACAATTGTACACCCACATTTAAAAGCCAACACCACATCCAAACACACAATGCACTCAAACATAAACACCACACACAAGTACACCACTGCATTCAAATGGCAACAGTACACACAAATATACCCCTACATGCACACACACACTCTATACAAAAGCATTCTTATACTCAAATGCAAAAACACTGCTCACAAACAGCGGTGGCTCTAGACTTTATGAGGCCTTAGGCGAAACCCAAACATGAGGCCCCACTAACACCAAAGTGAAACAAATAGAGTTGCAATATATGCACACATATACACATTGATGCACTGTCTACCTTTGTATGTGCCTGAGTGTGTGTCTGACAGAGAGTATCCTTGTGTGTGTGAATGTATGTCTGTGTGAGCATGTTTGCACTTTTGTCTGGGACTCTATGTGTATGGGGTAGATGCTTGAAGTGTGTTGTAGGTATGGATTTTGCCTGTCAGCTTTGTGCATTGTGTTTATGGCAAAGCTATGTTTTCTGACTGTGTGTGTATGATGAATGTCTTCAGCTGGTGACTGTGACAAGGTGAGTTAAGGGGTACCAGTGGCAGGGAGAGCGTCACAGGGCAAAGGGGGAAAATGGGACAGGGTTGTGAGAGAGAATAAGGGAGAGGGAGTATGACATGGTTTGATGAGGGAGTGCGACAGAGCGAGTGGAGGTAAGTGTGTCAGGGCAATTGTAGCATGGTAGGAGGGACGAGTGTGACAGGATTAAGGGGGGGTTAATGTGACAAGGTGAGTGGCAGAGTTGGCAAGATTAGAGGCATTAATGTGACAGGATAAGTGTGTTAGGGTTGGGTGGAGAGTGTGACAGAGTGAGAGAAAGTGAGTGTGACATAATTAGGGGATTTAATTTGACAGGGTGAGTGTGGCAGAGTGGGGGCAGGTGAGTTTGGAGGGGGTGAGATTAACAGGATTAGGAGTGGTTAATGTGAGTGTGGATTCATGAAGAGGCTGACAGTGTGGGTGGGTGAGAATGTTTGGGGAGGTGATAGTGTGAGGGGATGATAACAGTGTATCTGGGGAGGCTGACAGTGTGTGGGAGTATGATGACAACACTGTTGTGGGTGACAGTGTGTGGGGGGAGCATGACAGTGTGTGTGTGAAGGGGTGACAGTGTGTATGAGGGAGGGTGACAGTGTGTGTGAGAGGGGTAAAACTGTGTGCGGGTGGGGGGTGATGGTGTGAGGGATGGGGTGATGTTGAGAGGGATGGGGGTGATGGTGTGAGGGAGGGGATGATGGTGTGAGGGAGGGTGATGGTGTGATGGGGGGTGGGTGATGGTGATGGTGAGAGGGAGGTGGGGTGATGGTGAGAGGGAGGGGATGATGGTGTGAGGAGGGTGATGGTGTGAGGGGGTGATGGTAAGAGGGTGGGGGGTGATTATGAGAGGGAGAGGGTGATGGTGTGAGGGAAGGGGTGATGGTGTGAAGGAGGGGTAATAATGTGTGGGAGGTGGGTGATGGTGAGAGGGAGGGGGTGATGGTGATGGTGTGAGGGACGGGAGGTGATATAGTGAGGGGTGATGGTGAGAGGGAGGGGGGTTGGTGGTGATGAGATGTGAGAGAGAAGGGGGTGATGGTGAGAGGGAGGGGGGCTGATAGTGTGAGGGAGGGGGTGATGGTGAGAGGAAGAGGGCGCATGGTGAGTGGGGTGATGGTGAGAGGGGTGATGGTGGATGGAGGGGAGGATGGTGAGGAGAGGGTGATGGAGGGAGGGTGATGGTGTGAAGGGAGGGAGGTGTTGGTGTGAGGGGGGTAATAATGTGTGGGTGGTGGGTGATGGTGAGAGGGAGGGGGTGTTGGTGGGGGGTGATATAGAGAGGGAGGGAGGTGATGGTGTGGGGGGTGATGATGAGACAGGGGGTGGCTTGTGAGAGCTATGGGTGATGATAGAGGGAGGGGGTTGATGGTAGAGTGGGCGGGTGATAGTGAGAGGTAGGGGGTGATGGTGTAAGGGAGGGGGTGATGGTGAGAGTGGGGTGATGGTAGAGGGGGTGATGATGGAGGGAGGGTAATAAGGTGTGGGAGGTGGGTGATGATGAGAGGAAGGGTGATGGTGAGAGGGAGGTGGGTGATCATGAGCAGGGGGTGATGGTGTGAGGGAGGTGGGTGACGGTGAGAGGGAGGGGGAATGGTGTGAAGGGGGTAATAATGTGTGGGAAGTGAGTGATGGTGAGAGTGAGGTTGGTGATGGTGAGAGGGAGGGGGTGATGGTGTGAGGGAGCGGGGGTAATAATGTGTGGGTTATGGTGTGAGGGTGTGAGGGAGGGGGGGTAATAATGTGTGGGTTATGGTGTGAGGGTGTGAGGGAGGAGGGATAATGGTGTGGGGGGGTAATAATGTGTGGGTGATGGTGTAAGGGAGGGGGGACTCTTGTGCTAGATGGGGGCCCAGAAAACTTTTTTTCATCAGTTCCGCAACTGACATGGTCATGGAATGCACATAAAAAAATTAAAGGAACTCTTTAAGCACCATACTCACAACAGCTATTTGTAGTGTAAACAGTCAAACTGTTTTAAAACAGTTTGACTTCTTACCTGGAATCCACCAGGCAAGCTGTAGTGGTTATGGTGCTTTGAGCGTTGAACTAAATACCTGGTATATATCTGAAGGATATGTACAATGTAACAGTAGCAGAGACTTCAGGGAATGTTAATTATAAAAAATAAAAAAAAGATAATATGTTTATCTGAAGACTTTTTATTCTTAATTAATGAATAAGCCCATTTGTCTAACACAGTCAGAGTTTTTCACTATGAAAATGGAGCAAACATTTTTTTTAAATCAGCTTTGTTTCCCATTCATTTATTTTCAGCTAAAATATTAAAGCCTATGGTGAATTCTAAATAATCACAACTTTAGGGTTCAAAATGTATAGCTCCGACTTAGCTACCTGTCGTGTGAACTGTAAGCTTCTTATATTCCTATGTGAATTTACAGCATTCAATAATCTATAATGCAATCAGATGTTCCTGAACTTTCAGGGTTATTCATTGTAGGTGAGAATTCAAGGTAAATTCAAAGTGAATTTCACATTTTAGGCCAAAGTAGCAGAACTGGTAGCATTGCTGACAGACATTTTTTTCAAAATCAGCTATTTTAGCCTTACATTTGAAATTGTGTGTATGTGTGCATTTTTCTACCTTTCAGAAAAGTTGTCTTTCTTGAAAAGCTCATGCTGCAGCAAGGTGGTGCAGGAAGATCTCTTGTCTGGGTCGATTTGTAAGCAGCTCTGTAAAATAAATGCATCATCTTTGTCAATGAAAAATATAACTGTCTGGTATAATAAGAAATGAATGCTTTATACATCACAACTTGCCACTGATACTCCATACCTGAAAGTTAGAAAATACATTGAGTAAAAATTTACCTCTCAGAGGTTTCTGCAATGATCTGTGTTACTTTTTGCGGTCGACTATATCTTCTGCCTATGTGGCTTTAAAAAGGGACCTCGCAAATACCGACCAATACACAGATAATTGCATTACATTTTTTGGCCAATAAATTCTTTCTTTCATTGGAAAATATAACAAATAATATATTTAATCATCATCCTATGCAGAAAACTTATGGTTGAGAATGCTAAGTAGTTAACAGCGAATCATGGTTGTTTAATTAAGCCATTTTAGTTTGACACACATAATATACCAATATCAGCTTCACTTTCAAAATACCAAGGCTATATGTGGTCTGAGAGGGTTATTCACAAAACTTAGAATTTGCCTTCTATATGATATTTTTTTATAATCAGCACTTTCACTTTCTTTCCTTCAAAAGAATATTTGTGGCCACAACATCCCATAATAACATGCCTCCCAACATTGGGAAATATGCAAATGTGACAGGGGCGAGCCTGCCCACTGTATTGACAGGACCATGCAGGGGGTGCTGCTGAAAAGCTCTCTGCAGGATTTTTGTGATGTATAAAGCATACACAATGTGTATTTTGTGATGTATAAAGCATTCATTTCTTATTATATTTTATGTTTTTGACATTTAATTTAATAAACAGTTAGTGTGGTAAGATTGGGAAAGCATAAGAAATATAGAATTAGTTAATGCAATACAGCAATGATTAGCATCCAGTTTTACCTTAGTTAAATCTAATATCAAAGGAGAGAATACAGGATATCGCCTTTCAAGAGGTTCAACTTGTTTGATTTCTGGTAATGTCACGCCAGCAAACAATGGGTTTTTGTAAAAGAGCTCTTGAAGTCGGGGAGTTAAGTTACCTATAAAATACAATTTTAATATTGAGATTGGTAAGTGTAAATTTGGTTTTGTCAGTGTTTCATCTTTCGTGTCTATACTTTGTGTTTTCATTTTCCAAAAATCCTTATAACTTTGCTAATTAGAGCATATATTATAGCTTGTATTGTTAGAAACATAGAAACATAGAAAGTGACAGCAGATAAGAACCATTCGGCCCATCTAGTCTGCCCAATTTTCTAAATACTTTTAATTAGTCCCTGGCCTTATCTTAAGTCTAGGATAGCCTTATGCCTATCCTACCCGTGCTTAAACTTCCTCACTGTATTAGCCTCTACCACTTCAGCTGGAAGGCTATTCCATGCATCCACTACCATCTCAGTAAAGTAATACTTCCTGATATTATTTTTAAACTTTCACCCCTTTAATTTAAGACTATGTCCTCTTGTTGTGGTAGTTTTTCTTATTTTAAATATAGTCTCCTCGTTTACTGTGTTGATTTCCTTTATGTGTTTAAATGTTTCTATCAATCCCCCCTGTCTCGTCTTTCTTTCAAGCTATACATGTTAAGATCCTTTAACCTTTCCTGGTAAGTTTTATCCTGCAATCCATGAACCAGTTTAGTAGCCCTTCTCTGAACTCTCTCTAAGGTATCAATATCCTTCTGAAGATACAGTCTCCAGTACTGCATACAATACTCCAAGTGAGGTCCCACCAGTGTTCTGTACAATGGCATAGCACTTCTCTCTTTCTACTGCTAATACCTCTCCCTATACAACCAAGCATTCTGCTAGCATTTCCTGCTGCTCTATTACTGTTATATTATTGTTCTATTAGAGATATAATATAGAGGCTATTTAACTGCAACACAAGGCTATTTCATGCAATTCTGCATTAGTAATTAATAGAAACTCCAACCTCCATATACATTACAGCTTATTGTCCTGTTTATGGTGCTAGGAAGCTGTCTCTGAAAAAGAAATGTTGGAATTCTGGTTATTTTTATGATTTTCATCTTCATCTCCACTACCTGGTCTCCACCCACACATTCCATCATATAGATAAGTCTAACTTGCACATTGAGCAATTCAAGCAATCAATGTGAGTATGTTTACAGAATTCAACTCACTCTCTTTCACATACAGGAGTGCACACTCACTGCACATCTTAGGTGAATGAGGGAAGAAGCCTATGCATGTGTATGCTATAGAAAAACGTAGACAGCCCAATGACATCAGTGGGAAGTTGGATGGAGCCTGGGTGCTGGTGATGAAGGACCACAAAAATGGTGAGCATTTAAAAGATACGTTCTCAAGAACAGCTTTCTAGCACCATTACAATAAGCTGTAGTGATTATGGAGTTTAGGGTGTCCCTTTAACTCATCAATGTTACTTTCCCTTGCCTTTTTCATTAAAGAGGTAGAGGTAGCTTACAAAGTAAAGCTAGATATTTTGGATGATCTCAAGACCCCAAGTTACATGATTACTCTAGACGCCATCACAAAACTCACAAAATATCTGCAAAACTGATGTTTTAGAGGGCACTGGAACTGAGCTTTTTGACAGAAAGGGGAGCTGCAGTCTGTGCATGTGCAGATCACAGCTCTCCTGAACACGTCACATCACTGAGTTCACTAAACCAGTCTGTGTATAAACTGATATCAGCCACAGTATGTACCTATCAATTTGCAGAGCAGTTCCACTCATCATGTTAGTGAAAATACTGTTTGTAAACTGGGTTAAGTTATTTTATGTTATGTATTATTACCCCTATTCAAATAAGTTGCAAAACTAGAAATCTCTAATCTAGAATCATAAACTGTGTCTTATTAACTATAAGACTTTCTTAAAGGTTTTCAAGTTGTACATTTTATTTTTTTCTTATATTTTGTTTTTGTCTTATTTCCTTTTGAGTTTGTAAAATGTAGTGTAATTGTTTTATCACCAGTGGCAATTTGTGCGATACTCCCTTGTTGAAATAAGAAAGGCATGTTTTCTAACAGAGAAGAAGGAAATTGCCATTACCTTGGCATTTAATGATATGGTAGAGTTGATCAATATCAGAATCTCCAGGGAAAAGAGGCTCGCCTGTAATCATTTCTGTTACTAGACAACCAATTGCCCACACATCAACAGCTCTAGAAAAAAAACAGACAGAACAACTTAGAGCATCTCAATATCATCTGATCATTGCGGTTTAGTATCAGCCAGCAGATCTTCTTCCATTTCTTACTTGCCATACTTGATATCTCCAACCAATAGCTCTGGTGCCCTGTACCACCGCGTGGCCACATAGTCTGTGTAGACTTCTCCTGGAGCAGCCATTGTACGTGCAAATCCGAAATCACATACTTTTACAATACCAGAGTGTGATACAAGTATATTCTCAGGCTTAATATCACGGTGAATGATCTAGGAATAGAGTAAAATATTCAACATTTGATTCTCTGTAATGGACAACTTCACTAGTCAATTGACATTGAAATTTTAAATCAGTTAGGAAGTATTAACAGATAAACAGTGCACATCTGAAAAAATACAGCATGCTACATAAAATATATTGTAACAACCCAGTATGAACATATTTATAATACATAGCTGTTTCTAAGTATAAGATTATGCAGATTCTAACTGTTATCTTGTTAGTTTCCTGTGTAAGACTTCACTACTCCTAAGGAGAAGGCTATTACAGCTAGCTCCTGCACATTCGTTTAACGGGACACTGCAGGCACTGTATCTGCCTTATCTAATTAATCTGGTTATAGTGTCTGGAGTTCCCTTTTGCCATCATTTCAATACTAAACAAGAGTCCCAAGCAGCCCATCCCCTCTGTGCTGCTTAGGCAAATGAGGAAGTATTAGCCTGAGCAGCAGATGGCAGCTGTGAATGGCTTAGAGTGTCAGCTGACCGTTTTTAGCTTATCAGAACTCCCATTGAGGGTATAAATGGGTATGATTGTGTGTAAATTCTGCTTTTGCCACACCCCTAGAAGGGGCCAGAGCCAGACTATGGGCAGCCAGGGACCCTTACATAGTATTAAACTGTTCAAACATGGTTTAACTCTGAATGTTCTATTAGAGTTGATATACAGAGACCATTTAACTCTGCAAAACCTGGCTTTTTCAAGCAAATTCTGCATTAGTAATTAATAGAAACTCCAAACTCCATATACATTACAGCTTATTGTCCTGTTTGTGGTGCTAGGAAGCTGTCTCTGAAAATGAAATGTTGATGTGGAGGGACAGTACCAGGGGACTCCAGGCACCATAATCAATACAAAGAGATTAAATGGATATAGTGCCTACTTTGCATATTACTCGTCAACCCTACCATCAAGAATACATCCAGAGCCCAATTTTTAGAACTGTTGGCTATGCAGTAAACAATGCTCATATATTTATTTTTTTAACATTTGTGAAGATAATAGTTTTATTTGTTTGCTTATTGAAGACATTATTGATGTGTATTTTTTTCACTCATAGTTTATTGAATTTAAGCACTGTGTATAAAACCAATGTACAATCAACATTGCCGGAGATGCAAAAGGTAAATGAACAGAAGAGAAAAGAAAAAGAAAAACAAAACAGATAATACATAGTATATGAAACGTTGGGTCCAATAAAATCAGTATCTTGAGGGTTCCTCCAGGTATGCCATAATTATATCCATTCTTGAAATTAAAATATTGTCTGTATAACTGATCAACAAAACATCACTTGATATTTGCTCCAAATATTAGAACATTGGCCACATTCCATCACCCACTCGTCTACCCAATTCAACTAAAACAGGATTCCAGATCTTACAAAGCCATGATACAGTATTAGTAGTAGACTTTTGCACAGCTGACATTTCCAGTTTGTCCAAATAAACTTGGGCGAATCTAAATTTCATTTTGTCAGAAACAAATTTTGTCCATAATTTGACTCATTTCAAAAAAACTCAGCTGATATTTTAATTTCAGAATTTACATTTAGACAAATGCAATGTTGTAATCTTTAAGTGGTTTAAAGAGTAGAGAAGTCCCTAATGTGGTACCCTTATGTGGGATTGCTATATTTCAGAATACCAAATTAGGATGTGAGTTGTGTTTAGTAGATAGCTCCCAATTTTGGTATTCTTAAATATGGCAATCCAACATAAGGATAAAACATTAGGGAGGTATCTACTTAGCAGCTGAAAGATCAAAATCAGGAGAATGGCTTTTTCTTAATTTTGACTCGTTTTCCTGACACTATATAACCCTTAGGTCCCCCCCACCCTCAGAGCCCCCCACCCGCTGGGCTGAAGGGGTTAAGACCCCTTCAGCTACTTACTTTAATCCAGCGCTGGTGACCTCTCCTCCCACTCTGACGTCAGCTCCCGAGTGGAGAAGAATGCGCATGTGCGGCCAGAGCCGCACGCGCATTTTAAAAACGCCCATAGGAAAGCATTTCTCAATGCTTTTCTATGGACGTTCTGCACGCTGAATGCAATTTTCGCATTCAGCGTCGCAGAAGCGCCTCTATCGGCTGTCAGGAAGACAGCCACTAAAGGCTGGATTAACCCTGCAGTTTCTCTGAAACTGCTATGTTTACATCTGAAGGGTTAAAACCTGGAGGACCTGGCTACCAGACCACTTCATTGAGCTGAAGTGGTCTGGGTGACTATAGTGGTCCTTTAAGTGTTTAGTAGATAACTCCTTAAATCAGATGGGTACCCTTATGTGGGATTGCCATATTTAAGGATACCAAATTGGAGAAGGAGCTGTGTTTAGTATATAACTCCTTATTTTGGTATCCTTGTGCATTACAATCCCACAAAATTAAATGAACACTATAGTCATCCAGAACACCTCATCTTGATAAAGTGGTCTGGGTGTAGTGTCCATGTTGTAAAACATTGCAGTTTCTAAGAGGGCCCTTTAAGAAAATCTCTTTTCTTAATTTTGGTCTTTCATTTGTTTAGAAGATAGCTCCCTAATGTGGTACTCTTATGTGGGATTATCATAATTAAGGTTACCAAACTAGGGAGCTAACAACTAAACACAGCTCCCTCATTTGGTAGTGGCATCCTTAAAAATGATAATCCTTCATAATGGCACCAATTGTATGTGTTATTTATAAGAATGAGTTAATTAACAAATCAAATTAAATATTTGGCTTTCTGCGATTCATTCATTAGTTCATACTTCTATTGTGCCATTCAGAATTCGGACAAATGGATTTTCTTCTGAATTTTGAATATTTCAGAAAATGAATACCTAAGTATAATTATTAGCTCTGTATTTTATTTTTTTAAGTAACATGTTCCTTTCCTTTTTGTATGTCGTTATGCCTTAAATAAAAAAATACAGATTGGTGCAATTTTTTTCAAGTTAAAAATTTTTTAAAAATATCAAAAAACTGTGGTGACGAGTTGAGTGTATGTAAAAAAGTGTACTGATAATGGATAATACTTACATTATGATTATGGCAAAACCCAATTCCTCTGATGATTTGAAATAAATACTTCCGTACTCTGCTAAAGTCCAGCCCTTTTGGAAATTGTTCCAGTTCATCCAATACTGTGCGATCAACAAACTCAAAAACTAAGTACCACCTTTTTTTCTTCTTGCACACTTCTAATAAATTCACCAAATTTTCATGGCGCAATTGCTGAGGAGAAAAAAAAATGTGGTTAATTTATTGATAGCAAAACAATACAGATTTTCCGAGTACAAAGCAAAGAGGGAACTATCCTTTAAAGGGGAACTATCATTTCCATAATTTTTTAATACTATTTTTATTTATCATTTAAATTAGGGAAATATATTTCGTAAAGTCTGAAAAATTAAATGAAATATAGAAATCTACACATTGGTGCTGAAACTGGCTCCTTCCATCTTGACTCGCTTTTAAACTTTTGTTATAAATGTTGCCCTTTTGTGCCAATGAACATGAACAAAACTGAAACAATGTTTGTCTTCTCCTCCTCATTTGCATTGTGTGCCCTAGCTGTGCTTTAACTGAAAGGGATTGTGAAATCACTCAGTAAATCTTTAATCTTTAAAATACATTTTTAAAGAAAATGGAAGTTACTGCCAGCCCCCAGATTAGTTGTCAAGCCATTAGCAAACAATTTTACTATTACGGCAGGGGTAGGCAATCGTTGGCACTCCAGATGTTGTTGACTAAATCTCCCCTGGTTCTTTGCCAAGATTAAGGTTGCAGAAGCATTATGGGAGATTTTGCAATACCAAACCCTTCATTAAGGGGTCGCCAGAGCACTCCTGCCCCACATAGTGGCTATGGTGCTTCAAGTGTTTATTTAAATTAGTGTATGTTATTTGTCAGGCAGAAGATTGCCCCTTATCCCAGATGCAAGAGCTTCATTATTTTACTTCATTATTCTCAACAAGAAAATTGAGAAATTTGCACAGTTCAACGTGATAAGGTTTCATGAAGCAAGGATTTGGCAGTGTTGCAATCTTATAGCTTTGCCAGTTTGATATATTTTATGTTAGTATCCTATGACTAGCATTCCAGTTTATCAGTTCTGTCATCACCCTTATATCAGAGTGCTATGTGAAAAAAACAATACATAAAAGGATTTTCTGCAATCTGTGTGATAACTGCACAGACCTGCACGTAGCAAGCCTCGTTGATGAGGTTTTTTAAATTGTCAAATACACAAATAAACAAATCAAACAACTATGGAAACCTGAGTTTAAAGTAACATACTTTGCTGCCCATCATTATTTTAAAGGACTCTTCAGGGGACTCAGTAGCTGAATGATTATATATTCAATTTTTAAGATGGCCAGCAGGAAATCGATTTGAGTTGTGCACGCAACGTGACGGGCCCACGAAAGATACAAATGACAACACACAGCTGACCACATTAATTCCCTCCAGCCATCTTAGCGTGTTAGCCAATGCTGAGCAATTTGGGACCTGACAAGCTAAATGTGTAACAGTAGCAAGTTGGTTGTTTGTACAATTATTTTTAAAATATTGGAGGAATAGCTTCATATTAGCCTCATTTTAATGGGATTTGGTTTACAACAGACTTTGGACAGGAAAGATGTCACTACAATTTCATAAAACTTCATTAGTGAGCAAAACACACCTGTTGCTGATGCCAGCAGGAGTACTCAGTGCCAAAAGCTGTAACTAAATTGTCATGTATGAATCAACATAAAAGCGCTAAAAAAAGATGTATGGAGGCACTCTTGTAAATGCACGCCCAGGAGTATTGAGAATATTGGTCACTATGATTCTGTAGCTAAATGTGCCATGAGTTTAGGTATATGATATCATTGCTAAATATATTTTTTTCCCATGCAACACCTGTTTATTGAGCTATTTGGAAGTGTAGTTTTGGTAACTTTATTTCTCATGGTTGCTCTTTTTTTTTTATTATTCATATTACACTTTACACTGACCAAGCACTGGTGCATGAATTCCCCTTTAACACCATCCTTAACTCCAAGGCACTGAACAAAATAAATATAGGTGAAACGGAAAACTACACTTGCCCGGAGATACAGGTCCACAATAAGATTCAATCTCCCGTATTACTACTGCAGAGGGAACCAGCCATTTCTCCACCCTGCAATACACCATATTTGTGTTCTTTATTCTATTACCATTCCTTATTAGTTAGAGTCACTTTTTGGCATTGCTAGATGCCAATATGACCAGGGGCTTCAGAACAAATGTAAATTGTATGGCACCTCCCACATATGTTGACTTAATGTTCTATGGATCACATTATGACACCAAATCTTTGGATGAGTTCAGTGTATTATATAAATGTATATTTATGCACTAGACAAATGCTGTGTTAACCCCACACCACGAAGCATTATACCTGCACCCACTGCATTAAAACCCTGCCCACACAGCAATATCTCCATAATGTGCTGAATAATTAACTATTCAATTATGTAATTGGAGGAGTTATTTCTCTCAGAACACCGACCCCTTCCTCCCCCCACCCCCACACTCTCCCCAATTCACCCATAGCAACAACCCTGGAGACAATTCATGAACGAATTACAGAATGTGAACAATCTAAATTTATCTCCAAACTCAAAATTGCAAAAGCTGAACGACATGATGACTAATTGTAGTACCAAAGAAGAAAAACACAGGCAGCACTCCAGGATATAGAAGGTGAATTCATTCGTGGGTTCACCACCTCACCAAAATAAGTGCGATGTTTCCGCTCCTAAGAGCCTTAATCATGCATGATTAAGGCTCTTTGGAGCCGAAACGTACTACTTCTTTGGTACTACATTGGTGGATTCAGCGGTGTCCATCCTATACACAGAGCGCCCCCTTGCTGGAAGGCCGGAGCAGGACCTGAGTGCAGGGTATTCTGTTTTTGTTATGATGACTAATTGTGTCTTTAGCCTTTCAGAAAATTGTGATAAAAATTCTTAGGAAGAATTGAGAAAAGCCTTGTTAACTCCAGTGGTTGATCCCTAAAGGAATAGCGAGTATCTTCCTCTCAGCCTTAAAAATGTGGCTTTATGGGCCTGGTGATTCATGTTTGGTAGACTTGTCCGGTTTTGAATCCCTTTTGGAGAGATATTTTCTCCCTCATGAAAGAAAAAACAAATGTGAAATTGCCCATTGATATATTTATACCGATTGGGAAGATGGGTTCGGAAGGAGGGGGGGATAAAATAAAAAAAAATATTTGGCTACAAAAAATGGTGTATACAGGAGTTAAGTTGTTTCATGCCTGGGGATCTATACTATGAACAGCTTTTAGTTACATTTGTCAAGAAAAGAGGCCATACTGAGTAAAGTCTCCATAAATTTTAAAAAGTCAACATAATTTAAAAAAAATCAAAAAAGAGGATAGGAGATATCCCCAATAGGGTAAATTATAAATATTATTGGAGAAGGAAGTTTTTTTTCAAAATAAGCAATCGCAATTGATTCTTCTACAATTGACACTTTGCCCTGTTTTTTTCTTTATAAAAAGTCTCCAATGCTTCATAATCTTTAAACCATGTTGGAAAAAGCGTAGAGTCATTTTTTTACATTAATTATATATTTTGTTAGACATATATTGATATAGATATATTATAGCTGAAGAGGTTAGAGTATTATCGCTGGTTTTAAGGACATATGCAAATCATAGAGTTGTGACAGAAGTGTTAAAATAGCCACCTTGTATACATAAGTGTATTGTATCACGTACATGGGGAGCGATCTGATCTTGTCTAGATACAAAGATAAGTTCAGGCTTTGTACTCTTGGGAGTGACTGTGGATAATAAACCCAATAGGTTATATGGTCTAATCTTCTATAAGTAATGTTCATCCTTCATCTCGCTTCACTAATTTCAGAATCCAGCTCATTAAACCTGCCTTTCATTGGGAATGCAGAACATGAAGCAATCAACGTGCTTTAGAAAGTGTTTGTGCCTCAATCATTCAAGCTTAACCACTGCAGTCATGCCTCACGTACTACTACATTCTAATCTTATTGCCTGTGTATTAGAGAAGCATGGTGCATCATAAGTAATGCAACTTCACAATAAATAACAAAAATATAAAATAAATAAAACATACAATTTTTTTTTTAAGTTTAAGAAAGTTTAAGAACATTTTGACTGCTAACCTGATCCCACTTGGCACCAGTGGCCACAGCTTTGATTCCCCATTCTCCCAGACTCATAATAGTTTATGAAATGACGAGCGTAAGAACACTAGCGTGTCCTATTTTGAGTTAATAAGTAAGTAGGGGTTTGTAAGAATACATTTTTAACTTGCAGCAAGGTGAATTGTTAGTGTATGGCTCACCTAAGAAGTTTGCCTTGACACAGCAGGTGTGCTTACACTTTAATGGCCATTTGAATAATACTAAAAAACTTTATTATTTAAATGTGCATAGATATTTGGGTTGGTGCACAGGTAAAATGTTTTGATTTTGTACTATGTATTTGGGATGATTAATACTATAGCCATTGCTGCCATCCAAGAGTAGTGGGAGTATGAGTGCAGGGCTTAATTCTGTAAGCCACCCCTAATTAACTAGCTTTATAAGACTTTCTGGCTTTATGATCACTACTTGGTTATAGTAAACCAGCTATAAGCACATTCTGTTCCTGAAATCATATATTCCTGGTTTTGGCCTATTATTTCAATTAATATTTAGCCTATTCATAGTATCAGTTCTGATTTTGTTTTGTTGGTCTTTAGTCCTTTTGTATTTTATGAAGACACATTATGAAAGTTTTCTGTTCTAAAAAAGTGGTGCACAAATGTAAAAGGGGAAGAGTAACCAAAGGAATGTGTATGCATGTTTTTTCCATGGAGAGAGGTCCACATTTAGAACTTTGGGTCACTTTTCAGAATTCAGCTTTGAGCAGTGATATAGCATTATGACAGCAACTGCCTTAAAGGAACACTATATGGTCAGGAACACAAACATATATTCCTGATTATATATTGTTAAAAACACCATCTAGTTCCCTCAAGCCCCCTTGCCCTCTTAAATATAATACAATCTTACCTTTACTCCAGTCTGCTGCTGCTGTCTCTGCTCCTGATCTGCTTGCTTGCCTGACATCATCAGAAGTGTTGATCTGAACTAATCACAATTCTTTCCCATTGGAAAGCATTGGATTGGCTGAGCCTGTCAAGGAGGCAGATCAGGTGCAGAGCCAGCACAAGTCAAACACATCCATGGCCAATCAGCATCTCCTCATAGAGATACATTGAATCAATGCATCTTTATGAGGGAAGTTCAGTGTCTCCGTGCAGAGTGTGGAGACACTGAATGGCAGTGCACACTGTGCAGCACTACTCCAGGAAGCACATCTAGTAGCCCTCTGAGGTGTGGCCACTGGAGGTATCCCTAGGCCAGACATAGACAACCTTTGGAACTCCACGTGTTTTGGACCACACCTCCCATGATGCCTTACCAGGGCCTATCCCTGCCCTAGGCTATAATGTGAACATTGCATATCATCTGAAAACACAGTGTTTACTGCAAAAAGCCTGAAGGGTATGATTATACTCACCAGAACAAATACAATAAGCTGTAGTTGTTTTGGTGACTATAGTATCCATTTAAAATCACAGCATATTGCTCTCTATGAGATTTCACTGCATACAAAAGTAACATTGTTTTTCTGTGTCTTGAAAATACTTGTTAATGTCTTTGTGTCCTCTTCAGTTTTGACCTGAAGTTTAACTATTCCACATGTCAAGACATGTCTAATTAATTAAACCATGTTACAGCTAGGGGAAATACAGTGCAACAGAGATCCAATTACATTTACTAAATATATGCCAGAACAATGGCTAGTTGATTTTTTTAGGCTAATGATTTTTTATTCTGTAGAATATGCTAACTGGAATTTGAATAACTACTCTTTTTCAATTTTTTTCTATAACAACATATTTTCATCATAGAGATCTAATCTTACCATGCTGTGATTAAAATACAACAAACATGCCAAAAAATGCTCAAACATAAATAGGCTCCTACATGTTAATAGGCTAGTGTTGAAAGTTGTTTAATTTATTAAAGATAATCAGGGATATAAATTTTACTTAGTAAGGTAATAGCTTCTTGATCCAATGAAAAATCTCACTAACAATATGGGGTCATAAAGAAATGTTTTCCTAGTTTGTTGAAAAATTGGAAGCGTTTCAAACTGGGGTTTTTTGCCTTCATTTGGATCTTCAGCAAAAACAAATGTGAGAAACTTGATGGACACATGTCTCTATTCGGCTATGTAACTATGTAATCATTCTGACATTGTTATACTATATCAGCAGTATTGTTCTAGTCGTTATTCTGTTGTAGAATGTTGGAGATTGTACAGTTAGAACTCTGTTTGGGAGACCATCTGGAGTAGACTGCATTGCATGGGTTATTGTATTGTGAATGCTTTAGAAGTCCATTTACAATGTTTAGAATGAGATATTCAAATCATATTAAAAAAAGTAATATTTTCAAAATCTATTAAATTTGATAATTGTTATTCATAAACAAACTACATAAAAGTGTCTTAAATTACTAACAAGAGCTTCTCATGGTAGCATGGGCTATAGAGGGGGGACAGGGGCTGAAGCGGAGGGACAGTCACACACACAGTCATAGACAATCACATTCACTGTCACAGGCAAACAGTCAAATACACAGTCACAGGCAATTACAGGCAGACAGGAAGGAGGCCCCAATGGCACTAGATGGGGAGCTCCAGGTCATGCTCCCTAATCTGCTCACTAAGGCCGACTCCGAGGCTCTCTCCGACCGACTAGGCCGGGTGTTCCGGGAGGAAATAGCCCAGTTGTGGGCAGACTTGGCGAGCATGGAAGCCAGACTTACCACCAACGAGTCCGACTCCAAGGCGCTCCGCACAGACATAGACGCAGTCCAACAAACAGTGGCTGGTTGTGAGTCAAGCCTAGCACACCTTACAACATGTGTGGCCTCATGTTGTAACATGAGCCCACAGACTGAACCCCCGGGTCATGGGGGTGAAGGAGAGGTACCCAACAGAAAACATACCAGAGCTTCTACGTTCGATTTTTGCCCATATGTTGGGTGGCCAACAGCTACCAAGGCTGGCTCTAGTCAGGGCACACCATGTGCTGCGCCCACCACCAGCCAAAGGTGATCAACCCAGGGATATTATATGCTGCCTAGAGGGCGTCACGCTAAAAGAAGACATATTGCACACACTACAACGGATGGGCATAACACGCCTAGAAGGCCAAAACATTGCAATCTATCAGGACTTATCCCGATACACCCTGCAGACAAGAAAAGCCCTACGCCCGGTAACATCCGCATTGCAAGCAGCAGGAATTCCACATCATTGGGGATACCCCTTCTTGTTGACAGCCCACCGGGGCCCAGACACGCACACGATCAAGACCCACGCAGTCTCACCTTGCAGTTATTTCTTTCCATTATAAGTACTGGATGAGGGAGTGAAGGCACTGCAGTCCCTGATGTCTAGTATTTGGAGATGCAGAGACTCCTTCCTGCTTCACTCTCAGTGTGCAGAAGCAACCAGGCAGTGGGTTCAGACTGTATTTAGCCCTAGCCCCACTGCCTAGTAAGCTCCACTCCAACTCCCTTACTTGCGGCTGGCTGCACAAGGAAGTGGGTTCATTACATGACGTCATATAGTGCCACCCACTCTCCTCCTATTGGTGCAGTGGCTAGGAATTTAAGCTCTGCCAATCTGCCCCCAGTGTGCATGAGAAGGAGAACAAACTTGTGAGTATTATCCTTCTCATGCTGGTGTTATACACCACTAGTGGCCAGCCCAAGCAACCATTACACAGCAGGGAAAAATATAGACCAGCCCTTTTGTGTATATTCTATGTTGGCTAACTGGCACCCCCTGGATTGGCCTGACCCTAACACACAAACCTTGGTTTTTGCAAGAAAGGTACCGGTCCTTAGAGTGGCTGGGCTAGTACTGATATTACAGTCAGAAAATCTGCAAGCAGGCACAGAATAAAAATTAACAAGTCAATGTCGGGGATTACAGAGGTACAGTGAGGGGTACAGTGCTGATTTTGAACGTTTGCCCACTGACAAAGAAATGATCAGTCTATAATTTTAATCATAGGTGTATTTTAACAGTGAGAAACAGAATAACAAAAAATAAAATCCAGAAAAACGCATGTCAAAAAAGTTATAAATTGATTTGCATATCAATGAGTGAAATAAGTATTTGATCCCCTATCAATCAGCAAGATTTCTGGCTCCCAGGTGTCTTTTATACAGGTAACAAGATGAAATTAGGAGCACTCTCTTAAAGGGAGTGCTCCTAATCTCAGCTTGTTACCTGTTTAAATGACATTTGACCACAGAAGCAATCAAGCAATCAGATTCCAAACTCTCCACCATGGCCAAGACCAAAGAGCTGTCCAAGGATGTCAGGGACAATTTTGTAGACCTACCAAGCAGCTTGGTGAGAAGGTGACAAACATTGGAGCGATTATTCGCAAATGGAAATAATCGCTTCAACGTTTGTCACCTTCTCACCAAGTCTGGTGCTCCATGCAAGATCTCACCTCGTGGAGTTTCAATGATCATGAGAACAGTGAGGAATCAGCCCAGAACTACACGGGAGGATTTTGTTAATGATCTCAAGGCAGCTGGGACCATAGTCACCAAGAAAACAATTGGTAACATACTACGCCAATGAACAGCTGAATGATTCAGAGGAGAACTGGGTGAAAGTGTTGTGGTCAGATGAGACCAAAATCAAGCTCTTTGGCATCAACTCACTCACTGTTTGAAGGAGGACGAACGCTGCCTATGACCCCAAGAACACCATCCCCACCGTCAAACATGGACGAGGAAACATTATGCTCTGGAGATGTTTTTCGGCTAAGGGGACAGGAAAACTGCACCGATAAAAGGGACAATGGACGGGGCCATGTACCGTCAAATCTTGGGTGAGAACCTCCTTCCCTCAGCTAGGGCATTGAAAATGGGTTGTGGATGGGTATTCCAGCATGAGAATGACCCAAAACACACAGCGAAGGCAACAAAGGAGTGGCTCAAGAAGAAACACATTAAGGTCCTGGAGTGGCCCAGCCAGTCTCCAGACTTTAATCCCATAGAAAATCTGTGGAGGGAGCCGAAGGTTCGAGTTGCCTAACGTCAGCCTCGAAACCTTTAATGACTTAGAGAGGATTTGCAAATAGGAGTGGGACAAAATCCCTCCTGAGATGTGTGCAAACCTGGTGGCCAACTACAAGAAATGTTTGACCTCTGTGATTGCCAACAAGGGTTTTGCCACCAAGTACTAAGTCGAAGGGGTCAAATACTTATTTCACTCATTGACATGCAAATCAATTGATAATTTTTTGACATGCGTTTTTCAGGATTTTTTTTTTTTTTTTGTTATTCTGTCTCTCACTGTTAAAATACACCTACAATTAAATTATAGACTGATCAATTCTTTGCCAGTGGGCAAACTTCAAAAATAGCAGGGGATCAAATACTTTTCCCCCCCACTGTACATAGAAATGTGCTCCTAATCTCATCTTGTTACCTGTATAAAAGACACCTGGGAGCCAGAAATCTTGCTGATTGATAGGGGATCAAATACTTATTTCACTCATTGACATGCAAATCAATTTATAACTTTTTTGACATGCGTTTTTCTGGATTTTATTTTTTGTTATTCTGTTTCTCACTGTTAAAATACACCTACAATTAAAATTATAGACTGATCAATTCTTTGCCAGTGGGCAAACTTCAAAAATAGCAGGGGATCAAATACTTTTTCCCCCACTGTACATAGAAATGAGAAACAAATTAAGGTCAAGGTAACAGACAACAAAAATTGTCAGACAAGCCAAAGTCAGAAAACAGAATAATAACATTGAAGTATATATACCTTGTACTTGGTTGTGATTAGTTACAGAGGTCCATGATGTCACATGTGTGTACCCATCCTCATAAAAAGTGCTACAAAGATGGAGTTTAAAAAAGAGACCAATGCAAGGTTTCTTCTCGTATATTATGTCATAATGAGGCACCAGAAAGCTAAGGATGAGTGGGTGTGCATCTGAACACAGAAGAGACATTACTTCAATGATCACACGGCCCCGCAAAGGACAGGTATTGTGGCAATGGCGTCCTGTGCTTGTATACCCTTAATGCTGACCCTGACAGTTACATTTAGAAACAGTCGCTGGTCACTAACATTAGCGACAGCCATTTTAATGATTATCTACGTGTCATTAACACTTGACTGGAAAAACAAAAACTATCAGGTTTATCCACTAAAGTGAGAGTTTTCAAGGTTTCAAAGTGAATTTCAAATCTAAGTCCAAAATAGCTATACGGAAAGTACAAATGACTTGGAGAACTTTTCCAGTTCAGCTATTTTGGCCTTAGATTTGAAATTCTCCTTCAATTCAAATTGAATTCCCAACAGTTCTCACTAAGCAGATTAACAGTCTTTGTCTTGGATTAATTTTTCAACAGAGTATTTGTGTAACACCATTTACAACACCAACCAATTGTAGTTTGGAAGTAGGACAAAAGAGAGCAGTAATTAAGAAGATTCCTGTATCTTAGACACACACTGAAGGCAGTTATTGATTTTAATTACGGTTATCTATCATCTCACATAACAATTCACCGACAGCAAGATAAAAGAGGAGAAAACATTGGAACACTGTGTGTCTGAGTTTATCACAGTCCTGATGAAGTGGTAATTATAATACAGAGGGATATCATTAAATACAGGGTATTAGCATTGAAAGTGAGAGCTGTGAATGAGCGGGTATGGCAAAGAGCTACTGATTAGCATAACATCAATATCCATTATAAAACCAGGAAAAGGTGGGCATGGATGGTGAACTGATTTGGTGGTACAATGGGCCACTTGCCCCCCAGGCCTAAGGCTGCCAGCCCTCCCCTGCTTTGCTGCAAAGGGATTTAAATAGACTGGGGGACTGGGCACTCAAATGCAGGGCCGGCGCTACCTGTAAGGCGGACTAGGCAGCCGCCTAGGGCGCCCCTTGGGAGGGGGCGCCGTCAGGAGCGCCGGCCCCGCTTATCCTGCAGCCGCCCGAGCGCTCTGTAGAGAGCCTCAGGCGGCTGCAGCCAGGTTTGCCCGGGCGGTGCGTCCATGAGGGCGGACCGCACCGCCCGGGCGCAGCCTGAGGAGAGGCTGACAGGAGGGAAGCGCTCAGCGCTCCCTCCTGTCAGCTCCCTCTCTGTAGCGTGGCCGAGCCCTGTATGGCATGGTCCGACCGGTACAGAGAGCAGCTGTCTCCTGTACCCGGCCGGACTAACAGGAAGTGCACACTCTGTGTTCACTTCCTGTTAGTCCGGCCGGGTACAGGAAACAACAGCTCCCTGTACCGGTCGGACTATACTGGGCTCGGCCACACTACCACACAGGTAGGGGAGGGAGGGAGAAGAAAAAAAAAGAGAGGGAGGGAGGGGGAGAAGAAAAGAGAGGGAGGGAGGGGAGAAGAAAGAAAAGAGAGGGAGGGAGGGGAGAAGAAAGAAACAGAGAGAGGGAGGGGGAGAAGAAAAAAAAGAGGGAGGGGGGAGAAGAAGAAAGAAACAGAGAGGGAGGGGGGAGAAGAAAGAAACAGAGGGAGGGAGGGGGAGAAAGAAACAGGGAGGGAGAGAGGGGGAGAAAGAAACAGAGGGAGGGGGAAGAAAGAAACAGGGAGGGAGGGGGAAAAAAGAGGGAGGGAGGGGGGAGAAGGAAACAGGGAGGGAGGGGGAGAAGGAAACAGGGAAGGAGGGGGAAGAAAGAAACAGGGAGGGGGAAGAAAGAAACATGGAGGGGAGGGGAGGGGAGGGGGGAAGAAAGAAACTGACAGGGGAGGGGGGAGAAATAAACTAACAGGGAGGTGGGGGGGAAAGAAACTAACAGGGGGGGAGACATTGACAGGGAGGGGAATTGATGGGGAGAGAGAAATTGACAGGGAGGGGGGAGTGACAGGGGAGGGAGGGGGAATGAGAGTAACAAGGGAGGGGGGGAGAAGAGAGTGACAAGGGAGGGGGGGAGAGATTGACATCCATCACACACATACACACACAATCACACACAATGCACCCCTTACACACAAAGACAATGAACCCCTTGCACACAGAAAAACACACAATGCATTACACACACAATGCATTACATACACACACACACGCAATGCAACCCTTACACACAATGCATCCCTTGCACACACAGAAACACACAATGCATTCCTTACACACACTCAATGCACCCCTTACAGACTCACACACTTCATCCCTTACATACACAGAAACACACCTTGCAGCCCTTACACATACAAACACAGATTCACACAATGCATTCCTTACACACAAATCAGGACATCCCCTACACACTCCATCCCCTGTGAACAAACTCATTGGTGGAAAATGAAGGTGGACCCTGGGACCCAGACCTTGAGCTGTGTAAAGGGCCCCCAAAAAATGGAGCTGCTTCTCGTTCTCCCAGAACATTGATTTGTGTGACCACAGTTACAAACAGCCTCCAGAGATCCTGTTATACACCAGACCAGTGGAGCCAGACTGCAGCTAGAGCCCATCATCATCCTCATCTGCTTGTAAGTAGGTAATCTAGTATATTATTCGTGGCACTAATCTCTAATTTACCTCACATTAAAGAAACACTATAGTCCCCAGAACCACTGCACCTTAATGTAGTGGTCCTGGTGTCTATAGCCTGTCCCTGCAGGCCTTTTAATGTAAACACAGCGGCACTGCAGCACTAGTGTTAGTTAACATGGCAGGTCATATGGGTGGGGCATTGCGATGTCACGGGGGGGAGGAGGGGGGCGGCAAACTTTACTTTTGCCTAGGGCGGCAAAAATCCTTGCACCGGCCCTGTTTGCATATTGTATTTTAGTGGATATCAGATCCAAAATTAAAATATTAGTAATAATGTTAGAAAAATAATTTTTGATAATAATGATAATAATAATAAGGGAACATGAGAGTCAATGAGAGTCAATAAATTATAAATAATAAGTATACGTAAGGGATATATATCAGAGTGACAACTAAAAAAAAAAATAGAGAGAGAGAAAGAGAGAGACCGACACTGGTAGATTGATGAATATGATAGAATCCATCTTTTGTCAGTGTATGAATGGAGTGTAATTGAACTTCTCATTGAGTCCTTGTAGGGTCAAAGTCCTGAAGGAATAAATCCATGGTGATTCTTTTTGAAGTAATTGTTGATTAAAGTTGCCTTTCCTGGGATTTGGAATAAGTTTTTCAATTATTTGAAATCTCAGGTTGTCTATATTGCCTAACAAAAAGGGTTGCACAATGCAGTCAGTCTCCCTATGTCCTAGAGACTAGCCACATATCTGGAAATATCTATAGCGATAGAGTGTGATCCAAAAAACCTGGTTTGCAAAACTATAGATGTAACTAGAGACCCATAAACAGAAAAATAATAAAAATAATAAATATCAAATAAAGTATATACAAGTGTGACTCGAATTCCATGCCAACCAAGGGGGGTATGTATAGAGATATAATTCTGTCATCTAGTATCCTGTCTCAACCCTAATTATCAGCTTTATTATAATACACTATAACGGTATAAGTTGCAAATGGCTAAATCCCCAACGTAATAGCCCACTAGGAAATGTCAATAGTTAGTGTAAAAAAAGCTCAAAATATAGCTAATTAAGATAATAAGGGAGATGGAAGGTGAAGTATAGTCAGTATTCAGTCTAAAAAGCAGACTGATATTTAAAATTAAGCAAGCCTCTCTCCCTGTAAATCTAACTAGACAGGCATAGGAAGTAGAAAGATAGAAATAAGTGTTAAATAGTAATCATGGTGCTACAGCCACCAGTGCCTAGTGCTCATATGCATAATATGAGAGGAGAAATGCCCGACGTACGTTTCGGTGCTGAAGAGGAGCACCTTCGTCAGGGGCCAACAAGAAACTGGTTAAGAGTCTCTTAAATATAAAAAATATACCAGGAGGCATGAATACCTTGGACCAATAGGATCTAGGGGTGTGGATGACCAGCTGTGTTTAATCTCCCTGATGTGTAGCCTGTCAGCCGTGTCGTGGTAGATCACGAGATACATATGGAGGCGGGGCTTAGTGCCGGGCACGTGACCCGGTATCGTATGGGTCACGTGGTCTGACCGGCAAGACGGAAAGCAAGCTGGGACACGTCGTGGGCGTGACTAGGTATGTAAAGTGTACGCGATCCCCTATTGCAACTAAGGATTACTCCGCCCCTCACAATCAGGTGGGCGGGTGCGCAAAAGGCAAAGGGGCGCACAGAAAAAGAATTAAAGGTTAAAAATTGAGATAGGAGGTAATCAAATAAAGATAATCCGAAGGAGTCAAAAATTTATATAAAGACATACTGCCTATATATAGACATCCCGGAGTACCCCCAATAGAACATATCACCTTAGTCTATACTGTATACAACACCCGGATCTCACAAAAGAGAGTGTCCAAATAATAATGGTAAATTCCTAGATTTTCTCAGAGGTACATCATCTACAAAATATGTATCCACAAACATTATGAATCAAATATGTACATAAAAGATAAATATAATAATTCAACATAAAAATATACACAGAGACGCTGAACTGTGTGTTAATTTTTTTTTTTTTTGTCTATATTGCCTTGATGAACGTTATCTTAGATAGCCCAGATATACACCTTCTCTTTAGGTCTGCTTACTCATTTTGGTTCAATAATCTTTTTAATCCTTTATATCCTTTTTCTTTCCCTTATACAATTAGGTTTATCTTTGTTTTTCACTATTATTATTTTATCTATTTGATTGAACATTAAAAGTTATGTTTTAATTTATCCCAGTTTAGGACAGTGTTCATCTCCTTCTTTACTTATAAGACTTTTATTATTATTCTAAGTCCAAAGATATACTGAAGAAACAAAACTTATTTGTTTAATTATTCAAGAAATGAAACTTTACAATTAATATAGCTCTGTCTGATCATTTCTGTTTACCCCTAATTAACTAAGAAAATAATGTCTATATAGATACGAATATCCATTTTACTATCTATCCTAGCTGTTCATATAAGGATGTGAACCAAGAATAATTTTGGAATTGTATCTTCGATTCTGGGAAGAATTTATCTAATATCAGTTACGAGAATGACCATAGTGATTTCGAAATGTTCTTGTTAATTGTCCAAGATTTTGTTATTTGTAAATATCTTGTTTTGATCAAATATACATGCGTTATATAACATAGAATTATAATAAGAAACAGCTGCTCATAACTTGTGAAAAACAATGTCATTGTCACGCCCATATGCTCATTTTTCCCCCTCCCATCCTGCTATGAAAACGGGGTATTAATATAACTGACGGATGAATAAAAATTTAATTGGTTATTGAACACATCTCTGCTATTCATTTCCAATTTCCAGAGCTCTGAATGAGTTGGCAAATAGCCATCATCCATAAAGGGCCCGGGCTGATTTTATCCCCAACAAATTGGTGTCAGAAGTTTTTGAGTGCAATTGAACGGAACGGAGATGACAGGTAAGAGGATCTTTAAAGTACTTCTTTACCTGCTTCTCCTATTCCCCCACACATTGCATTTGTAATGGGGTTTTTCACTATTTAAATTTTTAAAGGGGATTTACACTGCATAGTGTCTTTAATAAACATGATTTTTTTTAAAAGTCTTAGCTAGACTTTTATTACTCCTTGGGTTGGAGGAAAGCCTTTGGTAGGCAGTATTGTGCACAATTCCTCTTTGGCAGGTGGTAAAAAGATTTTCAAGCCTTTGGCAGGCTGTCATGTCATGTGGGTTTTGTAGACTAAAATGGTTTAGAGGAAAAAAAATAAAAGCGGGTTAAAAGGGAATATTGTTTAAACCCTGTGTGATTGATGTTTGGCATTACTCCAGCTTGCTAATTTATGTGCTATTTTATGATGTGCAATGCTGATTTTAAGCATAAAGTCTTAATTGAGGGAATGTATAAAGTACATGTAAAGGTGATGACGATTAAGAAAAAAAATAGAGGTTAATTAAGGGGGACTACAAATTCTAGAACTAACATGATTTCTCTGCATGTATGTTTGTTTGCATAATGAGCCCTTTATTTTTATACTTGGACAAAGGTACTATAAGCCCACTACACTTTTTCATGGGAGTGGAATGTATGATTGTTTATGATGAGCCCTTTATTTTCATACTGGGACCAAAAGTCACTTCATTCAGAATGTCAAACACCACATTCTTTTTGCCCTGTGTGTTTGTTGCAGAGAATTTATGTTGTAAATTTAGATGATTATAAATTAGAGAGCAAAATTTATATTTTCAGTGGTCCAACACATGCTTCATTTTGTGCTGTAAGCTAACTTGTAGTATTCCAGTACGTCACATGTTGTATGTGCTTTAAATTGTATGTATTCTGTAAATTGTTGTATGGGGATGCTGAGATTTTATTGATTGTGACCCAAACTGTGCAGAAGTGGGTTTGAAATTTTGGTCATGGAATGCAGGATCAGAAAACCATGGACAAATGTTTTTACCTGCGTTGATATGACTTTTGGGAACTCAAATTGACCGGTCAAAATCTTGCCATGCCTTTAACATGGAGTAGTATAAATATTTTGAGTCTTTGAGAGTTCTGACAAATGCAGGTGATACCATGTCTGTGTAATCTGGTCCAAATGTTCTCTAAGCGAATAAGAGAGAAATTCTATTGACAGGGTACATATGTTGCAACTGGTTAATGCAAGTGTTATACAAATGTTTAAGTCAAACGCGTTATATGGCCGTACGGGATCCCTTCTTTAAAAGAAAAAAAATAGACCCTTTGGTACCAGAACTCTTAAATAAATCTGATACAAACTAAAATTGGTATACCTTACAATAATATGTTCTGAATACAGCTGTCAAAAGTTTATTCTGTGTAAATGGTGATTGTGATAAATGTGTGTTTTGGGTACTCATTTTAAAGTGTGCAGTTTAATTGTCATGTATGTTAATTGATATTTTGCTGTGTTATTTTAAATTATATTTGAATACGTTTGTCTCAGTATTGATACAGATGGAAATGGCAGCGTAATAATCTATTAAATAACTTATTTATTATTGAATACTAGTCCAAGAGCAATATGAGTTGTAGTCTTAAGAAAAAAAAAAAGCGGGGATGCTGTTTTTGTAAGTTTTAGCTGATTTCCAAAGTTCTGTTGCAATAATGGACTTCTTGCCAAAATGCGACATTCCTGTCCAGTTGCCAGGTTCTCTGATCTAATCTTAAAGCAGTACTGCTTGCATAGTTTTCAGACATGCATAATGCACAAACATGGGACCCTACATTATGTCTGTGTTTCTTTTCTGTGACATTTATTAATTTATTTTGGATTGAGTTAATTGCCTGTCCAAGAATATGCTTTTTGTATTGGCATGTCTGCTGGATATCTGCTACATTCGCTGTGTTATAAGACATGTGTGATATTACAATGAGTATGAAGAATATTTAAAGAATATTTGCATGTCATTAACACAAGCCTTTAGTGTCTTTTTACAACAGATTAAAAAACGCTGATCAGCCAACAAGAATGGGGCCCCTGAGAAAGGAAATAATTATCTGCTTTTCA